AATGATCAATTTAAAGCCATCCAAAATGCTTTACAAAAATCTGCACCAAGATCTTCGACTCGGGTGAAACTTGAAGGAAATCTCAAAGCTCCAAATGCTTTGAAATATCTATTTATTGATACTGAGAAGTTTACAGTACCTTATTTTCACGCGGAAAAAACTCTAAGTTTTACTAATGATTACGCAAAGGCAACAGCGAGTACTTCATGTAGTACTGCGAGAACTTCGCCAAGTGTATCTTTTACCACCGGGAAGTTGACAAGCCCGCTTCTTGTACCAGAGAAACCACAAGTATGCCTATGTTAGCACGACAACTGCTGAGAGTTCTCTTGCGGGCACTACAGGAGCTGCGACAAATTTATCTAGTGGTTCTAAGAAGTTGGCAAGCTCTTCTTCATACAGTGAGTCCAGTCGTCCAGAATATGTAGGCTGGACTTTAGGTGATGGAATCACTAACATCGCAAAAATATCCAAAAATGAATGAGTTGAAAGAAGCTGTGCTTCAAGTCACCATACAACTCCACGTTCACAGTATGTATCATGGAGATCAAGTTCTTCAGCGAGCAAAAATAAATCTGCCACTGCTTGCCCACAAACGCCATTACAAAGTAGATCTAAAATGTCGCCGACGAAAGTTTTCATGCAGAGCACTCAATGTGGTAATTCATTACCCAAGCGGACGGCAAAGGATTGAAATGTCCGAACATGAAGCATCAATGTGAAACGGTACGTCAACATCAGACACGGAAGCCACACAAAAATGTCACCCATCTGGGAGGATAATACTCCACCACCAGCAATCTTAAGGTAATGCAGGTGACATTTTCTGTCTAACCTTATCTATAACCGAGAAGAGAATGATGTTGAACGTGTTTGTGGCTTACAAATAATTTAAAAGCATTGTTTCTATATAGTGTTTGTACTAGTCATCAGGATATCTCATCACTCCCCAGTGGTAACCCAGTGTATTTGTCTTTGCATTAGATATTGGTACTAAACACCTAATGTCTGAATCAGCATCACGAATAACTGGGTTCTTCATTTATATCAAACGAAGGCTGGGATCATGAAAATAAAATAAAACGAAATGATTCTTCCTTAATAAATTTTGCCAAGTTTAGTATAAAAAGTTAATAAGAAAACGCTTTGCCAGAAAGATCTGTCAAAGTTGAAAAATAAAGTTAATGCGGCTCATGCTGCACTATCATCAAAAGTTATATTTCACAAAAGAAAGTACATTGAAGGTCGTGAATTGAAACCAAATTGCATTGTACTTTAGTTGTTCGTTTACGTTCTACCAGGTATTGATGTAGCTTCATCCTGTGCCAGTTTGTAATTTTTTAAAGTGATGTTTAGCTGTATCGCTCGCAGTCCTGTATCTAGTATTCTCTGGGTATGAAACAAGAGCTATTCAGAAGTTAGGTTTTTTTCACTAGAACATCATGTCATCTTACAATTTTATGCATTGATGGGGTTTCACCCTTGTTATGTACATGAATGGGAGTTCTGAGTATGCGAAGTTCTGAATTTCTTTAGAAAAAGTCAATTCATTTTTATTATCAAAAATTTTATTTTCTTAGGCGTTTTTTACACCTAAAAGTTTGGTCCGCAATTAAGGTCTACCAGTGACCCTCAAGGTCCGCGTTTGGCATGTCGTAAAGTTGATTTTTCAAAACATCTACTTGGCATTTCAAATTTTTGTGAAGAGTTGTGATAAGAAGTAAAATGGCTGGTTTTTTCCACAACGAGCGAAAAATGGTCTTGTGTTCCCATTGGTGGACGAGGCGCTGCGCAGTGAGCTACCTCGTGTTCTAATTATGTCATTGTTCGTCAACCACGAAGCCGCGTCTTTCGTTTTTGTATTTCATCATTGCCTGCCGAAGCGCTCACAAAAGAGGTTTCAACGATGTTCAACACTGATAGATGCACCGTTCATTCAGCTTCATCAAGCATCGTTTGAGGCGATCGAATGCATATCTGTCCTTTGCAATGACTCGCAATGGTCTACCGACGTGTTAAGTCAGTGTGTTATACTCCTAGACAAGTGTGGTACTCACTTGCCGACCTCGCAGGAGTAGAAGGCGTGGTGAACCGTCGGCGCGGGATCTAACGGTTGGTCGTGGTATGGCTGAAGGTCTTTAACCACAGCACCGTACGCTTCCTTATAGTACAAGCTGAATCAGGAGAATTCACTCTGCCAAAATATTCATATGATTCAACATAAGCTAAGATAAAGCCCGCACGTGCGTTGCGTTATATATACGTTTTCACTCGTGATTTTGGAAAAATTTGAAAAAATGTCTTGTCACCACTCCATGTCACTGAAAGTTTTCCATTTAGATGCTTCCATGAAAGAAGGCCAACTGGATGGATGCTATGTTGTCTAATAGTGTTGTAGCGATGACTTCTAATATAGTGAAACTATTAGCTAGTTTTGTTAGATGTGCACAACCTATTCATTTAGAACATTATCATTCTCGCTTACATTGTTCCAAAAACTCCTCATTTAAGGAGCTATGGATAGTGAAGTGTGTTCGATGCTGGTCCGTTTCGCTCTTCTTATGCTTTGGATGGATTTGCAAATCATGGAAATTCACCCTATAAGATTTCGGACACACCAATTGAAGTCAATGGAAGTCGAAAATATCGTACAACGGAAATACAGAACCGCGGCATTACAGCATTTTTTAACTATCGACATGACGGAAAAACCAACACATATATAGCTTCCTGTCAAGTCGTGTTCCATTTTTGAACTCTCAGAATTTTCTGTGTTTCATTTTATCAAAAAATCAAAATTTCCTAAATCATGGTGGATTTGAGAGGTGTTCTGGTGCTTTCTTATGTTAAAAGCTCACTCTTCAATTTTATCAAAACCTCTTTTATCGTCTATTATTTAGCGTGTAATTATTCCATTCATAATTTTGTGGTGTTGATCTAACTGAACTAAAAGGGAACAACAACTTATTTAGCAAAATGTGTACGTGCTTCACTCTGTTCTGCTTTGAACTCATAAACATTCCATTTCCAAGCAAGTCGTAAAATTTCTCATTTAGTATGTATTTATTACATATGTAAAACTACGGGTTCTAGAGTTATCAGATATGCATCAGTTCTCACCCCTTACTGATGAAATCAATCATAAAACATAACTAGTAGCGTTTATTTCGTTTTTATATAGCTGAATGCCAGTCATTTATACAATAATATAATAACATTGACTACGGAGCACCACTAATGAACTCCTGTCATTTCGATGTCTCTGCCTATATTAAATTCGTTCATCTTATTTTATTAGCCACCATCCGTGTAGATCTCATCAAAATATATAAGCATATTTATTTATGTTCTAGTCGTAGTCCACATAATTCCCTCACGAAGCAGAACCGTCGATGGTTTTGTCTGTGGGTTTCTTTTTTCGAATTTATGGTTGTCACTGCTACTGTAATGTGCTCTTGTGAAGTTTCTCGTACTTATTTCGTTTTGAACTCACTAAAGAGAGGATAAAGGATGAAGCGTCCGGCGTTCATTAGTCTCTAAAGGATGCGTCATATATTCGACTCTATCCAGCATCGTTTGAGGTGACTGAATTCTGGCGTTTACAATAAGTCTTGGTGGTCTACCGATGTATAAAGTCAATGTTGATATTTTCCCGGAAAAGTATGGTACGAAATTGTAGATCCCCGAATGTTGGCGTGTGTTTTTCAGGGCGCGTGCAGCTATTACGCCACACGTGCTCCTTGAATTTCGTATTTTTATAGTCACCAACAAATTCAAGAGATCATTTTTCTCGTCGTTTTCATCATAGCAACCAAAAATCCTTTGTGCCATGTGTATTGATATACTAGCAAAGGGATTGTGCAGTATTAAATGTGCAGTGTTAGATCTGCCATGGGATACACATACGTGTTTATTTATTGATTCTACCCGCGCCTTGAGCTAATTGAACTTACTATCCTTATCAACGGTGTGGTAGAATTATTCCATGACTAAGTGGATATTCTCTTATAACCTCCCATTAAAGGTAGCGATAGAAAATTTGTGGACTGAAATCTCTTTTTCCATGAGAACCAACACTCGCTTACATGGTTTTTATATCTTAACTAGCAAAAATCATGTATAAATATATATTAGCTGTCATTAATTTGACTATGAGAGCTTTAGATTTGTTTCATGTGGTGAAAACCTTGAAGTGCTAAATACCTTTCTAAAGCTGAAGACCCTCATTGCATATAGATTAGATGACTAGAGACAAAATCTCATCGGATGCGAGGTTTCCAAAGAACTGAATGGTTTTTTCCTGGTATAGAGCTTTTCGTAAAATTCCGCCGAAGAATGTAAACATGAAATGCGCAGTGTGTAAGTAAAATATATAATAAAGATGGTGGTTTATGGTGGTCAAACACTATTTTGTGTTTTCAGTGCTCTTTTGCATGTTGTTTGTAGGACTGCTGTGGAAACTCAATCTGATTTTTCTTCAAAATTCGTCTTAGATTCTTGAAACTCCTTTTCATATGTATAGCTCTCGTTTTGATAACGTAAACGGCAAGGCATGCCTTTCTCCAGAAACAAATGCTAAGCTGGATCCAACTCGCTGTGAAATTCCGCAGCTCATCGAAATGCATACATTTAGGTGGGCGTCAGCTTTTCCCAAAGAAATTCTGACAAAGTAGGTTGTTCGTTGAATGATGGTGATTTCTGAACTACTGCAGCGGTTGTGGAGTTGGGATCCTTAATGATCTGCAGAAGAAGCTTTACTTGAACGCTCAGCCGTCAACGGCCTGACGCGGGCAGTTATTAGTTACGTCAATAGGTATATTTAAAAAATCATTCCACCGCTAGAAGCGCTCAAAAAAAAGGAATTCATTTGATCTTTAATACGCAATATTTGTCAGCGTGGCAGGGTTCATTGTCGAGACCAACTACCCAGCCAACCCGTTGGCGGCCGGCGGCTGACAAGTAGCTGCGCTGTGGCGTAGAAAGATTGGTGTGCAAAACGGGCGTCAGTAGTGCAACGGATAGAGCACGCGCTCCCGGAGAAAGTGAGGTGCGGGATCTAGTCCCGCCTCGCGCAAATGTTTTGAGCATCACTCTACATTGCTAAAATAATTAGATGAGAAGGTTTTCCTACCATTGTGTTCTTGGAGGCCTACACAGACAGGAATAGCGGTGTACTAACGTCATCTAACTAAGAATTTGTACTTTGTTTGTGGTAGAAAAAGGTGGTTCTGATAAACTGCTCATCTTAGATCTAAAGTGGAGTAGCTTGAGATTTTCTAACCTTTACGGTAACGTGGAGCGGCGACCTCTACGTCTCTAACGTTTGACGTCCCTGCGCTTTGAAAATGACGTCTAATGGCGTCTACCATTGTTAGACGCAACAAGTTGAAGCTTAGAGACGGGAAGACTGTGGATCCAAGGCCCTCCTGGGCCTGAGCATCAGGCAGCGGTATTAGATACCTCATTGTAACCTTGGAATTAGCCTTGTCCCACGAGGTCGTGTAGAAAACTTTCATTTTTCTAGATTTCTTCAGTGAGGTATTTGTTAATGTTTGCTTTGTATTCCAGTGAGTATGGCAGCGATCTCTAAGAAAGCAGCTCATCGTCTTCAGTGGCCGGTGAGCATTATTTTTTGAAATATTATAGGCCTTAAGTGATCTTAAGGATGGATGTTTCCATAATCGCTCCACTAATTTTGTACATTTTAGTGACTAATTGTGGTCTTATAATTATCACGGTCATATTTTGTGGTTTATTTTCATATTCTGGCGGAGTTTTGTATAAGGTGTGTCTTGCTTCTGTTTCTGTTTTTGTTCTCGTGTTCTCGTTAATCATAGTATATATGAAGTGAACATCGATAAAATCTACTCCTCGCCTCGTGCTCCGAAGTAATCTGTGAGTCCCATTTGCTAGAGAGAAGCGATGATCACATCTTTGTAATGAAATGTCTCAAGCCCTTCTAATGGTATGTTATAACGTCTCGGTTATATGCGTGCGTCTCGGCGTTTTCGCACGCCTCTTTAGCATCACTTGTCTTACTCCTCACCTCTGCTACTGTCAGGTCTTTGTATAGGTTCTTGCGCTAGAATATAAACATTAAATTATTAACCAGAAATAATTAAAATAGAATTATTTGGTGTCGTTCAATTGCGCATTTTCTTAGAAAAATTTTGGTATACAATGTGCCTATCCTTGCTTCAAGGTGGAGCCGTTGAAGGAACAAATTCGCTTGGTACTCATGCGCGAATGGCGCGTAGGGGGAAATGCTAGTGAAGCGGCGCACAAGATCAGTAAAGGTTCCTGTAGACCCAAGAGCGACTGTTCTTCCAAACTGTTCTCTCCAGCTTTGAACTTCGCAAACCACTTCCTAGCCGTCTTTTCTTTAATCGTATTAGCCGTTCAAACTCCATCAATCTTAGTTGTAGTGACTTGAAATGATAAAACAATCAGTTACTAATCAGAACCCTTTGTGATAATCTCGATACATGAGTAGTGCTAGTCTTTAACAACTTTTGGTTTGTTTTCGATAGCTGAATTCCGTGAGGAATTGAAAAATTTACAAGCATATAATGCGCTAGCGCGTGTGGCACAGTGGTGTGCCCTGCAACACGCACGTCTTCGATGATTTGATTCCGCTCTCAAGGCTCCCTAAGGCTTATATCCCTCTTTACTCGGCGAACTGTTTGAAGACTTGAGGGTGAGGATAGCAGATGTACAATCTGTCACCTCAAACACTGCCAAGTGAGGTCGAATGCATGGTGCATTCTTCAGAAATTGGTCAACACCAAAAGCTCCATCTTTCTACACTACATCATCTAAAGTACGTCTTTTGAATCAGAAATGATTGAAAACCTCATACTAGTCACTTTCACGACTTACTCGTTTAATTATGGTTGAAGCTGACCATAGATTCAGATGCCTTTGAGAGTTGATGTATCTACTGCCAAGGAGTTGATGAAGAGTAGACAAAGGGTTCCCTTCAGTGTAGTTCCACCCCTAACCTAAATCCTAAAAGACGACGTTTATCAGCTGAGGTACACGACTGTTTGAAAGCCTCTCTCGCTGCACAAAAATTTTCTCCTAGGCATTTGGTAACTATTCAAAACCCTAAATTTCTGCGATTTCAATGATCTAATCAGTTTTAGAAACAGACTTTCTATTAGGTAAAATTATGTATCACACTCAGGAGCGCATGTGGCGCTGTGGTTAGAGGTGCTCTGCGTCGCACAAGACGTCCATGGTACGATCCCGCGTTCATGGCTCACCAAACCGTCCATCCTTCGGGGTTGGTGAATTGGTACCAGACTTTTCTCAGACTTGTCTGGGAGAATCAGCAGAACTGACTCGGTCCAGCGGAAGGCCACCGCGAGTCATTGTAAAGGCCAGGTATGCATTCAATCACCTCAAACGACGTTAAAAATCGAAGACGAATGCATGGCGTATCCCTCAGGGATTGATCAATGCCAGGAGCTTTTATCCTTTTTTTCATACTCAGTTTTTGTTTGCTTGGCTGAGCCTTCGATATAGCTCTTCACTAAAATTGTATCAGTCATTGGATAACACAAATTTCGAGTTTCTATGATGCATTTAGTTTTTTGAAAGGTTATCACAGAATCTTATAAAGGCGAAAAGAGGATCACATTTTACGCCCTAAAATGTGACCGCACCGCTTGGATGTCATAGGTGGTTCAGTGGTAATTATAGGTGAAGTTTATGTGTCATTGGTATCTCATAGTTACATAAAGATTGGAATATCACGAATAAACTCTTTACAAAGAATTTTTGGTCTAAAAGGCGACTAGTTTTCTTGGAATCCTTTACTTTTCAGCTGTAATACCACGTCCTTGTAAAACAATGGACAAAGTTTCCACCCTTCTTTTGCAATTGTATCACCTGTCTTGCGAGATCGTAACTTGAAAGCACATCTTTCAAAACTAAACTGTAGCTCGGGTAAGTGTAGGAAGAGAGCACTTTCATCACTGCGTATAATACGGTATTTCCCCCAACATCACCCATATTTAGAGAAAACGTATTTTTCGCTCTTTCTAGACATTTTGGTAGTTATTCATTAGCTTAAATCTTGAAGATTTGTAAGGTGTGCTTCATTTTTTGTAAGGTCTTTCTATTTCGCTTTAACGGTGAAAAGAAAAAATGTTGTTCAACACTCAAACATCTTTTCATGAGCAGAGCTTTTTCTCGAAAAGTTCAGCAATTATTTGACAGTACAAATTTCGGCCAATTTAATAGTGTTTGTGACTTCTCAAAAATAAACTTGTTATTGTGCTGCGACCCTGCAATTAAGATCAAATTTTATCTGCGAAGGAAGAGCAAGACTAAAAATTTTGTCCATGATCGATCTCCTTTGTACAATGCAATACAATTAACTGAATACAAAATTTAGTATGATTGCCTGGTAAACCGGCGTTTTTCCCTACAGAAGACACGCATGACTGAATCAAAGGTATGTGAGCGAGTAGGAAAATCTTGTTCTATCAAAGAAATATGAGAATCTCAAAAATTTTTGTCTAAGGAAGTAAAAATTATCAATTGAACAACGAAAATCGCGCAATTCGACCTGCGCGTGTTTGTTTCTATAGCCATCTCTTAGGGGTTAATCCTAAATACGCCAAGGTTCTAACTTTGACTCGAGCTTTTCGTACTAGATTGCCTAGAAACAAAGATACGGTATCATCTACAAACGCGGCTTCACTGAACTGACTTTATCTATTTGATAGTGATTTTGTAACTGTGAAGAAATTTAACAGCTCTTTACAACTTTTGAGTTAATTAATGCCTCGATTTTTTTTGCTAGAAGAACGTTTCGTTGCGCTTATAGTAATTGTTCTGTTACAATTACGTATTTCAATATGCCGAAGGATTAAGGTTCTCGAATTTATCACAATATCGGTAGGCATGTCAATCTTAATGTCAGGCTTCAATCTATTAGAGGACCCAATAAAGGATAAACTTGGGATGAAGCTGTCAGCGTTGATGAATCTCTGAAAGATTTGCCATGCACTTGAGTTCGACATGCCTCACTAGAGGTGATTAAATGAGTATTCGGCTCTTACAATGACTCGCGGTGGCCTACCGATATACAAGTGAGTTCTACTGACCTTTCAGAGAAGTTTAATACCAAATCACTAGCTCGGAGGAAAAGAAGACTAGATCACCCTTGAGCGTGAAGTGGAAGCCATCGATCACGTGTGTGTCGATATCTAATCGCTATAATACAACGCCCTTAGAACATACTATAATAGCACTGATTGATTGCATAACCTCGTTCAGTTACGAAAGAAATATGAACGAAAAGCAGTGAATCTGATGATTATCAAGTAATCGACGACTCCTAGATATCAACTCAAACGTAAAAGTTTTCTTTTCTCATTACAAAAGGAAAAAACATTTCGTAATTTAGTTTCTTCTCCATTCATGCTTAAAATCTTGTCTGAGGAACAGCTCCGCAATATGTCGATCACTCCACCAGTCTAAGATCTTGCACCGACGGAAGTCCTGTTTACGTGGTTGGTGAAATAAGTTTTGCAAATCTTTATGATACGAAAGTACTCTAGTTCTGTAGCAATTATAGACGCCCTGGTAAGCCAAGTGTCATCAATTTTCAATCTTCGAACTTTCTAAAATTTCATCCTATACATTTTTGTCTGCAAAGAAAATCGGCTTTTCGGTATTTTAATCAAGCAATGCTGGCTCATGAAAGCTCGAGTCCGAACGAAATGAATACAGGATTGCCTAGTTTTCCATCGTCAGTCGCTCATTGGCGGATATATAGATGACAACGTTGATTTTTCATGATAAGAAAATGCGTGAAGATTTTCAGAGAGAAAGAAAACTCTCCCACTGCAAGGGCTACCTTCTAGAAATTAGCCTTGTCAGATTCCATCATTCTGTTTATACAATATTATCGAAAGCAATTCTTGTAAAGGTGAAATTTTTACCTGAGATTGCCGGTTCTGTCAAGGTAGCTCATATTCAACCATTTCGAATAGAGGAATAAAACAGAATAATATGAGAGATGATATAGCTATATGATGCATTTTAAAAGAAACTCTGGTA